TGGCAAGATATTGGAGATTACTATTATTTTTTTAATCACAGGTAGGGAATATCCAACCAAGCAGTCCTGATCTCTAAACTCAGAACTCATTGTTTTATTTTCATTGGAAGAAGACCTCAATTCAGCCTGAAGCTGGTATAACGAAACATTCAAAGGTGTGATGTGTGTGATTTGACTAGAAGCTGGACCAGAGGTGCTGCGCAAGTTGGGAAGCAGTTACACTCTTGTGGTTTGACTAACCTTTTTTATGAGTGTGTGACTAAAGAAACGTGAGCTGTTGGCTTTTCAATTACTGTAGCTTACCCCTTCCGAGTTTCATACACATTGAGTCATCATGTCTACAGGTGACTGATAATCATCTGCCACGCTCAAGTTACCGTAACTGAGATGAGGGGATGTGATGATGGTGAGCTGCAGGCACGTGAAGTTCGGAGGCTCGCCCATCTCCTCAACAATGAACGATGGTCTGTGTTAACCGCAGAACTCAGTCACATAGTTCCAGTCATCCAAGAGTTTACTTCCCTCTGAATGTCTGCCTGTCACAGCTTTCACATTCAGCTGCTTTCTGACAGATGCTGCAGATGGCATAGATTGTGAAATTGTAGGCCTGGCTAAGGAAAGCAAACTCTTAGGAGAAAGTATAAAAAACAGTTTTCTGGGCTGACACTGTGGCATCACAGGCTAAGCTGCTGCCTGCAGTGCTTGTCCCCCATATGGATACTAGTTCGAAGCTTGGCTGCCCTGCCAAATGCACCTGGGAAAGCAGCGGAGGATGCTACACCCACATGGGAGACCCAGATGAATCTTCTGGCTTTGATCTAACCCAGCCCCAGCAATTGCAGCCATTTGGGAAGTTGCCAGCTGATAAAAGACCTCTCTCTCTCTCTCTCTTTCTCTCTCCTGTTCTTATTCTCACTCTAGCTCTGTCTCTCAAATAAGTGAAATAATCTTTAAAAAGAAAAAAGCAAGTCTACAATACTGGAAAGCCATCCAGTGGTTACTGAAGGACAAGGGGAACAGAGAGGAAGCGAGCGTGAACGATGATGACAATGTTGAGCTGAGGGCCCTGGGACTATATCAAAAAAGAAAAAAAAAATCTTCTGTTATGCCTACCCCACCCCGGAAGCTTTCTGGAGGCTCTGGGTTAGGTAAAAAGATGAAAAGATTGTCAAGGACACCTGGTATTTAGGGAGTTGACTAGAACCAGCCACAGTGGAAACTCGTCTGCTTTGGAAAAGAAAAAAAAACGCAACCAAAGTACCTCTGTGTCACTTTCAGGGTAATGAATGTTTGGTACTTAAGTTAGCTTTCATGACATCATTATCCCAGATGGCCTTGGTCAAAGATATAGCCAAACTGGAAATTGAAAATAAGAGCCACTGATGACTTTGGCAAAAGCTTATATTTCTGTTATTTCTTACTGAGCTGCTAAGAAGGGTGATTTTCTGGGTACATGTTTTCCTCTTGGAAATTTGTCAGGAAACTATCAAGAGTTGGCCCTTAATTTAGGGTTTGAGTGAGGGTGGATACAAGACAAATCCATCTTATTGGATTAAATCTTTTAGTTGGTTTTCTGGCATCAATTTCTCAGTCTCTTGGTCTATCTTACAACTTGTTATTATATTGACAATTAGCCTGTTTCTCGGGGCCGTATGTTTACCTTGTTCAAATCCAAATCCTACGATTGGTCATTAAGAATGCATATAATTTGGTTCCAACAGATATTTTTCGTTTTCTATAGTTCTCAAAATGTATGATGCAAACCATCAGGAGGCACATAGGGCACATGACAAGACAATAACTTTCTTGGAGGCCAGCACTAGAGCATCACAGATAAAGCTGCCTCCTGTGGCACCAGTCCAAGTCCTGTCTGCACCACTTCTAATCCAGCTTCCTGTTTATGCACCTAGGAAAGCAGCAGAAGAGAGCCCCTGTGTTGGTTCCCTGCATTCATATGGAATAACCCAGGAGAGGCTTCTGGCTCCTGGCTCAGTGCAACTCTGGTCATTGCGACCATCTGGGGAGTGAGCCAACACTCCCCAGAGAATAGAAGATCCTCTTTCTCTTCTCTCTCTTTCTCTGATTCAACCTTTCAAATAAATAAATCTTTTTTAAAAATCATTTTCTTTTCAGTTCTCCTTCAGTCTCCATGATGACAGTAAAGTGAGACTTAGGCTGTGTTTTGATGCCAGCTGTCTCTACAACCCTCCCCATACTAGACACCTCTCTGCTTTGAACACACAGAGATAGGGATCTTAGTCTCCAATATTCACTGTAACATATGATCAAAATTTAGTGAATTGCTGTTTCATTGGCTTTCTTTTTCTGTTGCTAAGATTTATTTATTTTTTTTAATTGGAAGAGTTACAAAAGGGGGAGAGAGAGAGAGAGCAAGAGCAAGAGAGAGTGAAAGAGCTAGTGAGAGAGAGCATTCTTCCATCCCCTGGTTCACTCCTCAAGTATCCAGGGCTGGACCAAGCTGAAGTCAACAGCCAGGAGCTTCATCTGGATCTCCAAAATGGGTGGCCGAGGCTCAAGTACTTGGGCCATCTTCTGCTGTCCCACCATGCGCATGAACAGGGAGCTGAGCAGCCAGAATGCAAACCCATTTCACCACAGTGCCAGCCCCAGTTGTCTTTATTTTTCATAGCTATCTTCTCTTTGTGACAAGTGATTCTGGTTTTCCATTTATGTCAGTGATAGAAAGTTTCCTTAAAAAACAACTTATTTTAGGAAAGAAAAAAAAAGATATGAATTGATTCAAAGAAAGAGTAAAACCAGTAGCACTTACCAAGTGTTTTCTATGAGATAGACACTGTTCTAAGCACTTTACAGTGACCCTGTAAGGTGGATACAATTATGATCTCCATCTTACAGGAGGCTAGACAAGCATGGCCCAGTCATGCGCCTGGTAACCGACGGAGCCAGCATCAGACCCAGCCTCTGGTGTGTGGATATTACAGGGTATGAAGGCACAGTGGAGTCTGAGAAATATCGTATCTCATACCTCTTGATATGCTTTAGTCCATCTCCCCCATGCACATTCTGTACAGTCTGCTTTCCTGCCTCCATTCATGCTCCCCTCTCGTTAGGACATTTGCTCCTACATCTCTGAAAACTCTGATTCTCCCAGTTCAGCCAGATCCTTATCAAATGCAGATGTTTTTCCCAGAAATGCTTTCCCTTCCCCAAGTATTCCTGAAGTTTTTGCACTCCCTTAACTCTTTTTTTTTTTAAGAAAAGATTTATTTCTTTTTTATTACAAAGTCAGATGTACAGAGAGGAGGAGAGACAGAGGGGAAGAGCTTCCGCCCGATGATTCACTCCTCAAGTGACCACAATGGCCGGTGCTGTGCCGATCCGAAGCCAGGAGCCTAGAACTTCCTTCCGGGTCTCCCACGCGGGTGCAGGGTCCCAAGGCTTTGGGCCATCCTCGACTGCTTTCCCAGGCCACAAGCAGGGAGCTGGATGAGAAGTGGAGCTATCAGGATTAGAATCAGCGCCCATATGGGATCCCGGCGTGTTCAAGGCAAGGACTTTAGCCGCTAGGCCATGGCACCAGTCCCATTCCCTTAACTCTTAAATGTGCAATTTATATCAAATAGCCTTGTCTTTGCCTCAACTTTACCTTACAATTATTTTTAGAGAAGACAAGTTACTCTGCCACTTCAGTGCCTCAAATGTGGCACTCAGAATAAGATCAAAGTCATCTATAGAGCAAAGCAAGCCTGGCACAGCTTCTCATTTGCCCCAATTCCTCCAATTCCATTTACATAGACTGATTCCTCTCCCACTAGGTTGGAGACACCTTCAAAGAACACCTTCAGAGAACTTTCTAATATTTTCCTTGTCCTGCTTTTTTTTTTTCTTTTGTCTGATGACTAAATCCTTTACTGTGTGGTAGTGACAAATTTTGGAATTATAACATGCTTAGGAGATGTTGCAAAAGAGAAAGATAGGGTTCAGCAAATCCTTCTAGAATCCAGTGTCAACAGAACGAAAAAGCAGTAACCACCGTGGTCTCCCTTTCAACACATCTCATCTCCCATGCTTTCTCTTTCCTTGTCTAGCCCCTCACCGCTGAGCACATCTCTATGGACCCTGTCCCTGCCTCCTCTGTGGCCAGAAAACCTGTTTTTTAACACATGCCACCCACTCACTCTGATGCTGGCTAAACTCTTCTTTCAGAATTTATCAGCAGTCTGACCTGAGAAGTAGGAGAGGGTGACCACAGATACATTTTGGTCAGTTAGGTGTGAGATGGGTCTTAATGATCACGTGTGTACCAATGATACACTTTTTGAGCAAAGGGAGAATAACACGCTTGAGGGAAGATCTGGCCATCCTGATTGCCTCTCAAGAAAGCGTTTCTAAGACCTTCTACCTTTGAAACTCATTTTCTTAAATCTCAGTGAGTCAGGTGACTTGTAAACTGGGGGAGTAGCAAGTTGGAATTTTGGGGGCTATTTTCTCTACCCCTATAGCTATTTAAAGAGCTGCTGGTGGGGGCTCTAAGCATCCCCACTTCGTAGCACTTCCGTCCCCCTAACCACCTGATAGCAAAAGCAAAAAATAACCAGCCAAGTAGAATAAGCATTTGGAAGCTGACAGTGTCTGTGCTATTTCCCAAACAATACAAACACAGAGGCCTGGCATGTCTAACCCCTCCTAGCACTGTCCTCCGTTCTTTTGCTTCTCTAGGGTTCCCCCCCGACACCACCCCCGTGCTCCCACTGACTAGTAGCGGAAGTATCTCCCAGCATAGCTCCTACATCATGCTCTTGCCCCCCCCTCACCTTTCAGCTTTACTTTGACCATCTAAATATATGTATTCCCCGGGCCCAGCATTCCTTGGGACTTCAACACAGTAGGAGCCATTCTGCAAGGATGCCCAGCAAGCAGCTTATCTTGCCTCGATTATTTTTTGAGGATTCTGAAAAATAATTTGACAAATCCTATGGCCTTTTGTTGTTTGGTAATCCTTTCTTCCTTTGCCCCAGGTGAGAAACGTCACTGCTTTGACGTCAACTATAATTCCAGCTACATGTACGAGAAAGAGAGCGAGATCATACAGACACGGATGATGGACCAAGCCATCAATAATGCCATCAGCTACCTGGGCGCTGAAGCCCTGCGCCCCTTAGTGCAGACACCGCCTGCCCCCACCTCGGAGATGGTCCCAGTTATCAGCAGCATGTATCCCATAGCCCTCACTCGGGCCGAGATGCCAAATGGTGCTCCCCAGGAGTTGGAAAAGAAGAGCATTCACCTTTCAGAGAAGAGCCTGCCTTCAGAAAGAGGTCTGTCCCCCAATAACAGTGGCCAAGACTCCACGGACACTGACAGCAACCATGAAGAACGCCAGAATCACCTCTACCAGCAAAACCATGTGATCCTTCCTAGGGCACGCAATGGGATGCCACTTCTGAAGGAAGTGCCCCGCTCCTACGAACTCCTCAAACCCCCACCCACCTGCCCAAGAGACTCCATCAAAGTCATCAACAAAGAAGGGGAGGTGATGGATGTGTATCGATGTGACCACTGTCGAGTCCTCTTCCTGGATTATGTGATGTTCACCATTCACATGGGTTGTCATGGTTTTCGCGACCCTTTTGAGTGTAACATGTGTGGCTATCGAAGCCATGATCGATATGAGTTCTCCTCTCACATAGCTAGAGGGGAGCACAGAGCCATGCTGAAGTGAATGTCCAGCCCCAGAGCCTGTGCCTGAGTGGGTGGCACTGTCTTTAAAAAAGAGAGAGAGAGAGACAGATGAACCCTACCTAACCAGTTGCTCATGAAGCACACTGCATTCCAAATGCCTTTCTATAGCGCTTTCCTATGCAAAGGGGTCGTATTCACATGGAGAGCCTGAGAAACACTGTCTTCACTCAGAGATTGTTTGCATGCAGATCTATTATGTTGTTACTTTTATTTTTCCCATCAGGGGCCTGAAATGTGCGGGATTTAAAAGCCAAAGAAGTATTTGATCATTTTCTTTTGCAGCCATAGAACAGGTCACTCACTGGAGTTTGTTGCCAGTTGGAACAGTCCCTAGTTGTGCCATGTGAGACATTCTTTCTGGGCGACATCATGCAGATGTGAAAAAAGCCTCTTAATCATAGCCAAAATCCACAAGAGTGAAGAACCAACCTTGCCGGGAAGCACCGCCCTTCTGCACTTGACACTTGACACAAGGCTGCCACATCCAGGTGTGACCTCTACCCCGCTTCTATCCCACATCATAGTCCACGAGCAAGAAAAGGGCAACAGCAAGCAGGATCTGTCACCAACCCCGAAGACCTCGTTCCCCCCGAGCGCCAGCTGCACCTCCCCACGTTGTCCTGGGTGGCCCAGGCTTCTGCAGTGTGTGCTCCTCATCCCTTTCTCCAGTGCAGAGTCGGGCTGCTTTGGATTCAGCCGTCTCCAGGAGAAAATCTATACCAGAGGAGCCGGTGGTTTTCAATCCAGACCATCACTGCGACTCCAGAAAGTTGGCCACTGAGGATGACGGTATCTCTGTCCTTTGACCAGCACTGGCAGAGCAGGGATCTGCCGGAGGAAGTCTTGGCAGCTGCTTGGCAGCCCGTGTGGCTTTCATGAGTATCAGCAGACAGACCCAGAGCAAGCTTGTCCGTGATTTCTTTTCTTTCCTTTTTTTTTTTGCATAAAAAAATGTCAAAGACTCCCAAAAGTGTAGCTTAGCTTCCTCCCCACAGGACAGACGTGTTGCTAAGGTCTGAACTGAACGTGGAGATGAGGAAGGTGTGAGAAGACACCTCTGTAAACTGGCTGTCCCTGATGAGGTGGGTTTGGACTCTTCCCTTCCTCCAACCCCCTCCCCCGCTGCCCATTTTTAGTGGAGTGGCTAAATTCTATGAAAATCCCTCAAAATATGATCTTGGTTGTACAGATACATCAGTTATCTTTCAAACAATGGGGACATACTCTAAGGAGCAGTGCTGTGATAACTGTAAATGTAGCACCGGTGTTGGAGTCGCACAAAACCCTTTTGCTAATTCTGTATTTGCCACTAATCAGCTATGTGACTTTAAGCAAATTACTTAGTTCTTAAAGCTGTGTCTCCCCCAACTATAAAATAAGAGTGGAATCAAGATTTTTCCTAAGGTCCCTTCCAACTATAGATGTGCATGAAGTAACCTCAAGTCATTTTTTAAACCTCTTCATGTGTGAGTATTAAGCAGAAAAGTATATATATGAATATGTTTCCCATCTCTTTGATGTGCAAATGTTAGTGTGTTAAGTTTTTCCTTTAACCACCGAGTTGTGAATGTGAAGAAGATGATAAGGGAGAAACAAAAAACAGGAAGGTATTTTGATCTTACCCCAAACTATATACACAAATTGGCACCTGCAGCTGCTCGCCAAAGCCCACACCACATTCCACCCCTTTTTCTTTTACCTTTTTAAAAACTTGTGTTAGGGAAAATAAATTCTGCTTCCAGAGACAACTTTATGGCACCTATTTACAAATTAAAAACCAGCTTTATGAATATTTCTACCAGAGCTTAGAATTCCAAATTTCTAGTAGACGAGTGTTTTATTTCCATAGGGCTTATGTGTTCAGCTCCAAGTCAACTAACGTGTGAGCCGCCAGGAATGAACATACATGTTCCACCTCAGACTGCACACGTGGCTTAGGCTTCTGTGTGACACGGAGTCTGTCTCAGGGAAAAAGGTTTTCTGAAATTCCATGGCAACAGCCCCAACATGTTTGAGACCTCAGTTAAAGGACTAGATGTATTTTGGTGTGTAGCCCTTGGTGGATCACTGTATTTTCACAATACTAGACTCCAAGCCATGCCAGATTGCTTCCACCCACTGTGAAAGAGGTATAGTCTTGAAATAGCACACATCTTACTGACTCTTTAAGGGACAAGAGAGAATTTTGGGGTGGGGATTAGTAGGAAAGAAAGCCAGGAACAGGAAGTGTTCAAGTCTTCACGTCTCAAGACTGACAAAGGCCCTCGGAATGTGTTTGGCAGCAGGTCCCACTCTGTTCTCCTTTTTCCTATGAGTAGATCTGCTGAATTACTTCTGTGCCTCTGAGGTCAACTTTCCGAGTAGGGTGTCCACTCATACAAGCTACTCCTTCACTGTCACATTCTGAGCCTACATGGGGGCCCACCCCATGGAGGGGACATGTCTATGCGGAAGTTCCACCTTCTTAATTCTTGAAGTTGCAGCAGGTGGCATACCATGGTTACTATCACCCAGGAAAACTCTCCCTCCTGTAGACATTGCTTCCACTAAGCAACCCACCACCTTGCCGAGGTAAGGGTGAAGGAGAAATAGCAGGATGCCCAAAGGGAAGGGTGGGGCCTGGATGTGCACCTGCCACTGCTGGGCAGGAAAGTCTTGCGGCAGCAACCCACAGCACGTTTGCTTCTGCACACAGAGTCCTTGTGACTTTGCGCTCTGAAGGTCTTCTCGCTCCCTCATCTCCACCAGCCCTCTTTTGGGCAGACCACACCACACATACACCCAGGAGGCCACAATCTGAGCAACAGGCAAACCCTTGCAGAAGGAGGAAAAGGACCAGAAACAGCTCACCAGATATCCCTCCTCATGATCTGAGGTGCTAAGTAGATTATTTCCCACTTGCAGAGGGCTGAGCAGACGTGTGTCTCCCATTATTGCTCACCATCACTGCTACCAAAGGGAAGGCAGGCCAAAGGTTATCAGTAAATCCCCAGTCCTTAGATGTCTTTGTCTCCAAAAAAGATATGTGCCTTGGCACAGTTAAGCCAGCCAGTCATCTGCGTTGTTACCCATTCTGAGCCTTGCCTGACTCGGCTTCTGACATTGGCAGTGACAAAATTTCTCACCTTTTAAATGCAGTGCCGTAACATTCTGTTAGGCCTCATCCCACGATGACCCAGACAGAAAATGACCTCAGATCTCTTTTGCATAGAAAACTGCTTCAAAACACAACATCTTACTCAGATGACTTTTTAGCACATCTCACATCCACGTGAAGTTTTTCCCAGTAGCATCCGTGTCACTCTTCTCTACCCTTGGCTTTTGTCTTCCTTCTGCTGAAGCTGAGGTTTAGAACATCTTAAGGCAAAAAGCAGCACTTTTTGGGATACATCCAGGACAGATTGTAAAACCAGATAAAAATGTTTCTCTAATGTCCTAACCTGAAACTATAGCCTACTATAGCCCACTGCAAGCTGGTGTGCTGGTCTCCAGTGGCGCTTTGTGGATATGCTTGGCTGTCTTTGAGGACTCAGACCAAGAATGAGGATGGCATGAACTCAAGAACAGCAAAGAAGGGAGTGACTCTGTGTGTGTGTGTGTGTGTGTGTGTGTGTGTGTGTGTGTGTGTGTATCAAGAGCAGAAGAGGGTAAGTGAGCATGGTGATATTGCCTTTAAAGAATTGGAAGCTGTCTTTGTGGTCACTCAGAAAGAGTAATCCAGAAAACCCTTCCACAGATGCCAGACCAGCAGCATGCTTTGGAACACAAGTGCCTGTATAGAAAACCATTTTGACTTTAAGCCAAAGGCTAGTCTTGGGGGCCACCCTGGGGAAAGAACTCTGTCCTCAAAGATGGCAGGACTGAGTGGCTCTGAGAACAACCAGGGAACCCCAAGACAGGGACTTCTAAAGACTACGGGCTGGAAGGGGCCTAGAGAGATATGTGGTGGAATTTGTGTGCCCTCATACAGTAATGTTAGACTGCCTCTATAATTCACTCCATTGTATGCAGTCTGTACCTCACCATGCGTGCCATCCCTGTGTCAAGCACGGGCATGCACTTTGAAGAAGCCGGACCCAGGTTTCTGCTAAGTATGGCCATAGTGAACTGACACACATGGATGACAACTGAATTGCTACAAGAAGTTGGGACATTCATGTTTGTACTAAAAATGTAGTGATTTAACAAGCGCTCTCTTCCAAGGACGGTGTGAGGTTTTATATAATTTTGTCTATAGGAAAAATGTTCCCTCTTTTTTTGTTGTTTTTCTCGCAGAGGTTGGTACAGGTTATATCAGATGGTTCCAAAGTATCTGCTCTATGTACTGTGGGATTAGAGATGTGAAAAACGTCCCCAAGACCAAGGAGCAAAATAGCTATTCTCTTGTAAATGGGGGCAGCTGATCACTAACAACATCCCCTTCACCTCACTTCAGTACAGAAGGGTGAGGCCGTTCTGCACTTGGCATCCGTGTGAGGTAGCCATGTGCCACAGATCCTTCACACACCCCGGCAAGCAGAGCAGCTCTGGTCCCTGACCATCCAGGAGCCCTGGATCATTGCTTTCCCCCAGGAACATAGAGTTTTCACCAGTGGTTCTCACTGTCCTCTCAACTGACTCTGCTCCAGAAAGCCCCACCAGGCTGCCTGCCTTCTCCCACACCCCTGTCCATCTCTGTGCTCTGGAGCCTGTCGCACCTGCTGCATCCATGAAGTTTGCTTTTCCCTCTCCTGTAAAGACTGAGCACACACACTTGAAAATGAGGCAGCCTTTAAAAAGACCCATCTGGTTGCCATTGACTCATTTGTTCAAGAACTTTTCCAGGTTAGCAGACAAGGCCCTTTTCGGTGGGCCCTGTGTCTGTGGGTTCCCAGAAACCAAACTACTGTGGGCTGTAAAGTGTTAGCAGGTCACTTAAACAGCAGACGCCCCTTCACCCAGACTGCGGTTTTGCATGCTCAGGTTCTCAGTCTGTGCGAGCTTTTTGGTGAAGGATCATTTTGGCTGCTGGAAAAACCATAGCTTATTTTTAACTTCTGGTTGCCAAAGTCACCACACGTGCGGTCTTGAATGACCCCTGTCTGCAGAACAAAACGGGGGGAAAACAGAAGGTAGCCTGGGACACGGACTGGCCTGGCCCCTCCATCAGTCGGACTCAGTATGGGCCTTGTGCCTATTCATACACGTTTCTCAGAAATGCCTCCCAGCCGGATTGTAACTCTCCCTCTTCACTCCTCCTTGGAAGTCCCACCTCATGCCTAGCCAGTCGGAACACTGAAAATCACCCTGTGCCTCTGTAAAGACTCCAAGACAGGCAGCTGCTGAGCCGCAGCCGCGCCCACCCCATTCTCGCCACCGTGTCAGGAACACCTGCTGACCCTTGGCAAGATTTCTTTATCATGTGTGGTTTTAACCCTGAAAAATAAATCCTGGTGTGTGACAGTCAGTCCTTGTGCGCCTGTCATCTGTAGCTGCTATCAGAGAACACAAGGGACTAGTTCTGCACCCCGCCCCCACGCCGCCAGCAATATTTTCTTCTGGCTTTTCTTAAAGTCCTGTTACCGCGATAAGTGGAATTATCACCGCCATAAGGCATCTCCAGCACCCCTTCTCGAGCCTGCTGCTGGCCTCTGTGGACCCGTGGTGAGGTGTTGGTCCCATTGGTCCTTGGCCTTCTAAGGGAACAGAGACAGCTGAGGGCTTGGACTTCGAGTGATCAACACACAGAACACAAAGTCTCCCTATCCCAGCTCGTGCTATGCCCTCCCACCTCCCAACAGACTGGCAAACCCTGACTTTGTCCTCTGTGGAGTCTCATCAACATTCAATTTGGGAAACCCGGGTTGTAGCCATTGAACTTGGCTATGTCTCAATTACAGCTAAAGCCTTCAGCGTGGACAGGAAACTGGAAGGATGGCCTAGGATCAGGCAGCCTTGTCCTGTCCTGGCACCTCACGCTCTCTATCTGAGCAGAGTCTGGCTTTCCACTGTCCTCAGCCATAGCACACTGCATTGTCTCTTGTGCGGAAGAGGAAGGACGTGAGTTCTAGAGTCTGGAATGAGCCAGGGGCCAGGTTGGCGGCCACTTGCTCTGGGTCCGTGTGTAGCACCATCTCACTGTAAGATCGGCCTTCCAGCCCCTACTAATGGAAGAGAGGACTGGAAGAGCTGCCTGTCTGCAGGGCAGAACCTCATGGTTTTCAGCTCTGGAGAAAGTGAGGCACCTACCTTCACACTCCCTTCTCAAAGCAGAAGCAGCCCAGAGGGAAAGAGAGCCCTGATCCCGACAGTGCCAACCCTTTATGGGGTGGTGGGCCTGGGAGAAGAGACTGCCTCACAGCTGCACTTGCTCCACTCCTCCTCCTCCCCCATCACCCACTCACACAGGCTGGGAGTGGGGGGGTGGGCACCCAAACCTCCAGCTGCAGGCAACTGTCATAAGGGCAGGCAGCCTGGCTCGCTCCCTCGTTCCCAACCCTCAAGAGTGCAGAGTCCAAGCAAGAGCGGAGGGAGCACTCGGGCTGCCAAGGAGTGCTGGCCTGAGGAACAGGTGGCCAAGGGGCAGGTGAAGGGGCCCAGGGGGCCCAAGCCACAAGTTCTGGCTGTGGAGCATTCCCGGGTCAGACGGTTGTTTGCATAAAAGCCAAAAGCCACTGCACCTGGGGTGGGGAGGCCCTCTGGGGAGGTGCTCCCTGGCCATGGGGGAGAGGGGAAGGAAGGCGTCATGGAAAGTCCCTGAAGGACACGGGGTGTTGAGTTTGCCGCGGTTTTCTGTTTAACCCTGTCCTGACCTGTGGAGTAGGCAACTGCCTTCAACTCCCCTCCACACTATAACAGCCTTCTTCCCCACCATGCCCCCCGCCCACCCCACCCCCGCCCCAGAACAGCATGCACATAGCCAGGGAAAAACCATACAAAGGAAAGAATGGAGGTTAGGAGGCCCCAGAATAAGGGGCCTATGCCCCTTCCCCAGAGGTGAGAGGCAGGAAGCCTCAGCACAGCCTCTTCTCATCTCCTCTCCCCTGGCAACCCCCCCCAACCCCAACCAGGGCCCCCCCTGGCCCAGAAGAGCTGCCTAGTCAAATAAACCACAGCCCTGGGGGCGGCTGGTGGAAGGGAATCAAGGGAGCAGGTGTCACCCCCCCCTTCTCCTGCCACCAGCTCAGTCCACGACCCACCCCAAATGGAATGTGACACGGGTCTCTCTCAGAGACCCACTGTTGGGGGCCTTCGGAGGTTCAGGGTGACTCCAGCAAAGCTCTGAACCCTCAAGCAGCAGCCAGCTTGGTGCAGCCTCCTGCCAGAACTGCAGCCCTGGGTGCCAATCCCAGCTATGCCACTCTCTGGGCCGCCTCAGACACTTGACTCTCCCTTCCTGGCCTCGGGGAGTCCAGAGCATCCTCACAGTAGGGCCCACTGCTTGGCAGGCTTAGGCCTGGCTGGGGCCCACTGCTTGGCAGCCTCCAGAAGGGCAGAAGCAAACCCAGGGGCCCTGGCGGTCCATCCCTTGCCCTTTATCTTCTGCTGGTGCACAGAGGGAGGCGTGGCTGCAGGAAGCCCGGGCCTTTCCCCCAGGGGTCCCTTTCTCCGTTGTTGTTTGAAACTCAACCCTGGCCTGATGGCTGGGAGGGCGACAAGGAAAGGACAAGCTCCGTCTCCTCACCCAGGAGATCTGGAGAGGGATGCGCTGAATTAGCCCTACGGCTGGATCCGAACCCCGGCCCTTCCTCACTGGAGGGTGGGAGAGGGCCTCCTCTTCATTCAGAGCCGATGCAGACCCCGATTCCTAACCAGGGATGCCTGGGAGAGGAAAACGCGACGGCGCGGAGTGGGGGGGAGGGTGCGGGCGGCGAGGTGGGAGCGCAGCGGGTGTGAGGGGAGGGGCGGCTGCACTTCTGAGAAACAGCTCGGCTCTGCACAGCCCGCAGCCTGCGGCTTCACAGCTTGCTCCTCCTGCCGCCCACGCCGCTCGGGGCCTCTCCGGGGGTCGGCAGCCCCCGCGGGGGCGGCGGCGGCGGTGGCTCCGGGGACAGCGGAGTGGAACCACGGGAGGGTGGGGGTGGAAAACGGAGGAAGGCGTGGGTCGCGTGACACCCGCGAGTAAAAGCAATCCCTCAGCCGGGGTCCCGCGCACGGGAGCTCGGCCCTGCAGCCCTCACCCGAGGGGCCCTCCCGGCACCACCCGAGCAGGACCCAGAAGTGAAACTTGCCAGGGTCACAGCCCAGCGCGCCCCGCCCCGCCCTTCCGGGCACCGCAGCCGGCCAGGATCTCCCAAGGCTCGGCTTACCGCCCAGGGAGGAAACGGGGGCAGGGAAGGGAAGTGCCCCGCGGGCAGCCTGCAGCGCGCGCCCGAGCTCCTCCGGGGTGCCCTCCCGGAACCACGAGTGGGAACCTCGCGGGGCGCCCGCACTTCCCGCGGCGGCCGCTGGGTGTCGCTGCAGGCGCACGGCTGAGCCGGCCTGGCAGGCGCTGTCCGAGTGTGCGCGTGTCGACGCGGGGAGCTGGGGTTCCTGGCAGCGACCGCACGAACGCAGGCCCCTGGCGGCGTGAAGATCGTCGCCTACACAACACAACACGTGCTCGTAGTGAAGACCAGGCTGACCTCAGCGGCCCCTTCCCGCCGGCCCGGGCACCGACGGCGCGTACCCGAGTCCTGGCCGCGCCGAAGCGCGCCCCCTGACGAGGCAGACAGGCCTTGCCTGGGCAGAGGCGCCCCGGGCGCTCCAGGCTGGCTGGGTTGAAGTGGGCAGACAGGCGCGCAGGTGCCTGGCTCGGCCAGCCCACCGCAGTCTCGCCAGAAACGTCTTGGTCTCACACATTTCTCACTCATTGCTCCAAAACCTAAGCCCTGAGTTGTGTGCGGCAGGGTGGCTTTCTTGCAAAGTCGAACTCCAAGATGGGAGACCCATGTCAGGACTGGCAGATGCGAGAGAGTTGGCTGGGTGGGCTCAGGCTGAAGAGAGGAGCCCGCTGGAGTCCATTGGGAGATTGATGGGATGCCCAATAGGAACGCCAGCTTCCGTGCGCCTTGGAGGATCTGAGTGAGCCACAGATTAGTAGGTAACCTTGTCCTAGGGTCGCAGGTGTAAAGGTACAGGAGACACCCCTCAAACCCCAGGGTCCCACAGCCCAGTTCCCTTACAGGACCGAAAGGGTATTTACGTCGTGCCCTAAATGGGTTGTCTTTGCCCTCTCCATCGCCCTCAGCCTTCACTGAAACACCCCAAGACCCAGTGCAAGAAGGAACAAACCGAACCACAAAAACGCAGCCTTGGTGCACAGTGTGTGTTGGCAGCTTAGCTGTTTCTGAGGATGTCCACGTCCAGGTGCCTGGGGGCTTGCGGCCTGGTCCCACTTTGCATTCCAACTCCCTGTTACAGCACACCCTGTGTGGGAGACCTGGATCAAGTTCTGCGTTCCTGGCCCAGTCCTGGTTGCTCCTGGAAACACCTGGGAACTGAACCAGTGGTTGGGGGAATGACAGCCCAGGGGAGAAAACACACACACACACCCCCCTCAGTGGCTCTGCCAGGGGACACAAGCCACCTTCTCAGCTCAGCCCACACACCCATTAGGAAGGAGAAGCACAGCTCTACTCAGTCCAGGCAGTGCACCCACTTCCCAGCACCCCTTCCTTCCTGGGACTCTTCTGGGGCACCTCAAGCCCAGCCTCAGCCCCGGGGTCACCCTGAGGCTCAAGGGGGAAGCCACATGGCAGCCTCCAACTCCCACAGGATCCCAGCCCCTCTTCCCGTCTACTGCTCATCCCGCCTCAGCACGAAGTCTCCAGGCCTACAAGCTGATTCGTCGCTGCACACACACTCCCCCTCCCCAAGCCCCAAAGCTGGGGTTTTCTGACAGTACCACCAGGAAAGCCGTCTGTCCACACCCTGGCCCTCCAGCTCCTGGGCTGCCTTTTCTGTCTGCTGCACTGTGGTGGAAGCTTTTTCTGAAAACATGCAAAGCCGGCACCCCCAGGTCGGAGGCTAGTGAGTACCCAGTGCCCCTCTGCCCCAGCTGAACCCTTGGACTCTACCAGGGGCGTCCACAGCAGAAGTTCCCGCAGCTGTTCGTTCTGGAAAGTCAAGCTGGTTTTTGGGGAGTGGGTCAGCTTCCTCCTCACAACCTCAAGCTGCAAACTGGGGCCCAGGGTCTGCCTGAGCTGTGGGCCTGAGCCCCCCACCCTCGCTCCACCTTGGTTCCTGACACTCCCAGCTGCTGACGCCTCCTCCCCCAAGCTCCCCAGGGACCCAGGCCCTGCACAGCGGCCAGTGTTGAGGGGGCAAGAACAAAGGGCAGAGAGGGCCCAATCCCTCCCATCCCCACCCCTGCCACCCAGACTGACTGTGGCCTCGGTCCCCAAATCCCCACCCCAAGGGACCCCCTTTATCTTTGAGCTTCAGTTTGTCGTTAATAAAATGGGAAAGCTGTGTCTCTGGACACTCCCAGTAGCTGATGGACATAAAAGGACAAAAAAGGGCTTTGTCCCCTGCCCAGTGCCTCAGGCTACCAGGGGACATTTTGGTGGTGGGGCGGGGTGTGGAGGGGGACATTAACCCCCTGGACATGCTTAAAATGTGATTCCCCCGGCCCCTACACTCTTGCCCCAGCAGGCATACCTCAGCAGGGTCCTGGCCATTGGTGGCCTGGCCGTGTAGTCACACCAGCCAGCTGGATGCCAAAGGAGTAGCAAGCACAGGAGAAGGCTCCAGAGCGCACACAGGTGCAGAAGGCGTGGGTTGGCAGTCCTCCAGCAGAGAAGCAATCTCGACCCCCCACCCACGGGGATGCCCCTGGGCTGCGGCTGAGTTCTCAGGGCAGATCCCCACAAGGATGCAGGCTGGAATGGTGCAGATGAGGCCTCTGAGCCCTCTGCTTCCCAGACAACTCCAAGCCCACCAGCCTGGGATCAGCCAAGCAAGGGGGTGCCTTGGTCACACAAGTGGCTACTTGGTTGGCAGGTCTGGCCCAGGGGATGTTGCAGCGGCTGGATCTTTTCAAGGTCACCCCAGGACAGCCCTCTCAGCCACAGATCAGGCCTAATGAGAAGGCGGGACGGCTCCCCAGGGGAGGATGCCCCTTCAGGCCACTGCTGATCCCAGTTGTGGCTTCAGAATGCCACCTGGAAGCCCACCAGGCAAAAGGGGAGGGGAACATATCCCAGCCTGACCTGCAGACTCAGGCTGAGGTCCTGGCCTTCTCTCTGTCCTGTCCCAAATCAGACTTGGTAGGGGAGCCACAGTTCAACCAGGCCAACAGGAGAAGGGGGATGGGAGAGCCTAGAAAGTTGGTTCACTCCACTTCACACCAAGCAGTATCAACAACTTGGGGTTGTTAGAGGGTCTCCAATTAAGTCGGAAAAAATTATGATCAATGTACAAAAGAAACAGGGAGAGTAACTTAAACCTGCATGTACCTTTCAACTTTAACCAGTATCAACTCACAGCCAACCCACAACCATACCCCACCCTCTCCCTTCATCACTGATTATTATTTCTTTTTCTCAAAAAAAGATTTATTTAAAATACAGGGTGGCAATAAGAGAGGGGGAGACAGAGAGGGAGGAAGGTCTTCCATCCTCTGGTTAACTTCCCCCCACATGGCTGCAACTGTCAGGGCTGGGCCAGGCTGAAGCCACGAGCCAAGAACTCCATCATCCAAGGGCCCAAGCCCTTGGATCACCTTTCACTGCTTTCACAGGAGAGTTAGCAGGGAGCTGGATCAGAAGTGCAGCATCCAGGACTTGAACCAAGGCTCATATGGAATCCCAGTGTCACAAGTGGGAGTTTAATTTGCTGTGCCACAATGCCAGCCCCAATCGCTGGCTTGTTTCTCAAAGCTGAGCTAGCATGCTGTTTTGCCTGTAAATACTTCAGAATGAATGGCTTCAATGAACAGCACCCTAACCATAACACCATTTGTACGTCTCAGCAAGCTCCTCAGATCCTTAATATCATCAATGTCTCATCAGAGGCTGCGTCTCCCCCAGTTGCTCATAAACGCATTTTGCAGTTTGGATTTGAATCAAATCAGGTCAGTACATCACATTCGGTCGACACATGTGCATAAGTTTCTTGAAATCTAGAGATTCCTCGTCTTTTCTTGTAATTGTATCACTGTTGAAGAGACCCAGTTATCTGCTCTGTGGTTTCCCAATCTGGCTTTTGCTCATTGTGCCCTGATGTATCATATTTCATGCTCCTCTGTTCCTTGCATTTCAGGTGAACTAGGAGTGGAGGTTCAGATTCAGCTTTGAGATTTTGGGCCCAACTAAGCTGCGGGTAATACTGGCATTCCATGCTGGCACTCCAGTTGGGGTCCCAGCTGCTTCATTTCTGATCCAGTTCCCCACTATTGCACCTAGAAAAGCAGCAGAGGACGCCCCATGCCCTTGGGCCTCTTCACCCACATCAGAAACCAGGAAGATGCTCCTGACTGCTGTGCCTTATTGAGCCTGGCCCAGCAGTGGTCTCATGACCAAATGGAAGGTTCCCCCGCCCCCACCAACACACACACACACACATACACACACACACACACACACTCTGTAACTGCCTTTCAGTGCTAGGCATTACAACCTCCCCCAAAACCAAGGCCACCTCTGCCTGCCTTCCAGAAACACCCAGGCTGGCCGAAATGTGGCTACGCTCTGCAAGGGTGCTGCTGCCACCCACCTATCCATCCCAGCCCTTTTCAGCACACCAAAGCTTGCCAGACAGAACTCACAGGTGTATAAAAAATATTATTTATTGTCACGAGTATAAAACAGAGCAGATGAACTGGCCTCTCAGTCTGTACACAATGTGGGCCACAGGACCGCCTGCCCCTGTCCCTCCTGTGAGGCCCTGCCTAGAGCAGCGCCCCAGGGCCTCGATAGAGAGGGCCACCAAGGGCCTCCCCTGGAGAAGGGGGTGGAGGGCAGCCTGTCTGGGGTGCGGGTGGGTAGTGGGGATGGGGCACCCTCCTGGGGACACGTAAGAGCAGAGGAGAGCACGCGTGGGGGACCTTCCCAGTATTCATGGCCCAGAGCCGCCTTCCATGGTGCCCGAGCCCACAGGGCGAGGGTCAGAGGGCCACTCGGGTGCAGCAGTGGCGTAGCAGGCAGGGCAGGATGCCGCGGTTCAGCTGGTGGAACTCCACAAGCTGCAGCAGGTCGGTAAAGCGCGTGTGGCCATCATCCATGCTGAAGTACAGGCGACCCTGCTCCTCGCTCTGGGGGTGGGAGGATAAGTTCAGGGAGGGCCCCGTGCTGGTGGGAGACCCCTCCAAGGCTGAGGCCTCTGCTTTTTGTTCAGAATAAAAGGGGATTTGCTCTGGGGGCTCAAGGGTTGTGGGAGGGGGCCTCGAGGGAGGCAGGGGAGGACAACAGGTGCAGGGAGACTGAGGACTTTCTTCCTTATGGCGACCTGGGGGGTGGGGGATGCAGGAGAAGCCACTCACCGGCAGGATGAGGTAGTGCTTGACCTTTTGCAGGTGGCACAGAGAGAGAACGAAGCCCTGGGGGTTGCGCTGGCTCTCACGGACCAGGAAGAGACTGCCAGAGGAGATGGCAAGGTGACCCAGGACCCCTGGCAGCAGTCCCGACCCTGGCTCTCCCTCACCTGTGCACCCGTGGCTCCACCTGATCCCAGCCCCATACTCACCCGTCCACCAGGCCCTGCTGCCTGATGAGCTGCTGGCTCTCCTCACGGGAAATGCGGCCATGGAACCACGACTGAGTGCGGTGAATAGCTGGGAGTGGGAAAGGGAGGACAATGGGGGCATTGCTCTGGGGAGGGGATCCCCCAATTAGCCCTACCCCCCACCAGAGAGTCCACAGCAGTCTCCAGCCCTAGGGCACTCTGGACTATCACCCACCTGTACTAAGGCTCGTGCCCGAGGATGGGGTGGGCAGGCTTAGCCGGTGGTTGGTCTTTTTCTGTGGAACAGTGCAGACATGAGGGTCAAGTGTGCAGCGAGTACCACCCAGCACCTCACAGCTTGGGGGGATCCTCTCAGCCTTCCCTTCCTCTTCCCCCTCTTCAAAAACCCACAGGACAGCACAACAGGAGCAGGCCCCTCACCCGCCAGGCCTGCGCCTCCTCCAGGGCCACGCTCAGGGCTTCCCGTGGGTTCTCAATCACCCGTCCAGCATGGCCAGAGAAGTCCATGGCCACCAGGGTGTTATCGGAGACACTCCTCTGCAGACAGCACAGGACAGGAAGGGGAGGAGTCAGATCAATGTCCAGGTATGCCCGCCAACCCACCCCCCTACCCCATGCACACTCACCAATGGTGGGGAACCGAGATAGGATGGGCGCAGATGGCGAGCCTGTGCCTGCTGGTAATTCTTGTATAGCTGCACTCCATACTGGGGGTGGAAGAGAGACAGAGCCTGAGCCCAGGGGTCCTAGGACTGGGCTACAACCCCTAGCAGGTCAGGATTCCCCAGGGACAGGGCTGTGTTCGGGGGCTGCTTGAGGCCACAAGTAAACCCCAGTCTGGCATCAGGGGTTCTCAGACAGCGAGGTTAAGCTGCCCTCCTCATCCTGCAGACCCAGAACTCCCTCCTGCAGGGGATTCCTTGGTCAGGGAAAGGCAGGACCCCTTCTCCCAAACACACACACCAGACCAGCACAGGAGGCCACACCCTGCTCCCAAGAGCCTCACCTTGAAGAGGCGGAAGGCGGCCAGCCAGCAGGTACGGCTCTGTTCATCCTCACTGCAGAAGACGCGGAGCCCCTTGTGGCCATTGCGAAGCTTGTTGGGCTGTGGGGAGAGGACACAACTCCCGCAACTGTCTCTAGGACCAGACGCCGGTCCCTGCTTCCCACAGAGCGGGGCAGGACCCAAGGAGCCTCCAGCAGGCCAGTGAACAGACAAGCGGCAGTGGGGGGGGGGGGGGGGATTGTGATGGAGCTTGGGAGCCCCAGAGCAGATCCTGGAGCCTGAGCACCTCCTGCCCCCTCAAGGCCATGCCCTTCACCTTGACACAGAATCCGAAGTCTGTAGGCATCCCATAGAGCTTGCGGCCCTGGGTGACCACGTACACATTGGACTCGTTCACATCGGCCACATACTGCAAGTGCCTGGGATCCTGTCCAGTAATGAAGGCAGGACTTGGTACGGGCCACCCCTATCTCCCTGTCACTGCCCCCTAAGCCCCATTAGTGAAATTTCAGGGCCAGAGAGGGGCAGGGAAGTACCCGAGACCAGACAGCACTTGCCTGGAACTCAGGTCACCTGCCTTTCCCATCCCTGCCTCCTGGGGTGGGGGTTAAGCTGGGCAAGGGGGCTGGGGGAGGCACGTGAGCAGCTGAAGGCCTCGGGGGGACCCAGGAGTTCCAAGAAGGATCAGGGCAGCTGTGGACATCACCTTGGAAGTGCCCTTGGTGGAGTAGTAGAGGCCAGACCGGCGCAAAAAGCAGAAGAAGCGTTTCCAAAGTTTGCGGCCCGATCCCCGCAGCTGCAGGAAGCCCTGGATCTCAGGGAAGCTGCCGGCATTCAGGAAGTTCTGCAGCCCGGGGAGAGTGGGAGGAATGAGTGAGAGGTCTGACCTTCCAGCCCCAGGTCCCTCCAAGGGTGCACTTTACAAACACTTCACAGCCACCACTGTCAGACGCCCCCACATGAAGCTAGGGGCAGGGAAACTGACTCTGCCCCAGCCACACAGAGCCAAGAGTTGGGCTCTTCACAGGACACGGGGGAGGGGGCGCAGGCTGAAGGGCAGTGATGGACTGGGCAGCTCTGGGGAGCCAGACCCTCACCTGGATGAGGTCCTCATGGGAAAGGCCTGTTTGAGCATCAAGACAGCTGGAGACCATCTTTTCCGGGAACAGCGAGTGCTGAGGGCAGAAAGGAGTCAGAGTAAGGGACAAAGATTGTGGCTGGGGGGCACAGGTTGCCCTGGGCCTGCCAACACACACTCACCGCAGAGCTCTTGAAGAGTTCATATTTGGCAAAGTGCTTCCGGAAGACGAATCGGCTGTCTCCGCCCACAGGCCATGAGGCCTGGACCTCCACCACAGACTCGTGGTCTTCCAAACCCCGCTCTGGGATCAAAAGGGGGGAAGGGGTTCGTGGAGAATAAATGATCTGGCCTCGCGGAAGTGCCCCATGCTCTGTGCTTTGTAACGGGAGCTGCCGCTCTCTCACCCCAACTTACCCAGTGCAAGGTGGGGGTGACACTCCACCAACCCCCAGTTCTCGTCATTCAGCGCATTCACTCGATGTACCAGCATCTCACATACATGACGGGCAGTGGCACCTGCTGCCACTTCCACCGACCGGCACGCCCCATCCTCACTGTACACCTTCACTACCTGCGCCCCAGGAATTGCAGATGACATGAAGGGTATGGGCAAAGGGAGGGTTCCCTTCCCTCACCTGGACCCTCTAAGACCCTTGGCCAAGAGGTACCCCCTTCCTACTGCACCCCCTGTTTCCCTGCCTTCCCCTCTGCAGGATGACAGGATGACTTACATGGCAGCGTCCGGTGTCTCGAGGGAGCAGCCCCCTTGCACCACCCGACCCCCCCAGGATGGGGGTTTGCGAGGGGGGACTGCAGAGCTCCGGGAAGGGGTTGGGGATGGAGGGCAGTGAGGTTGCCTGAAGTCCCTCCTCTCGAAGTCTCCTGTGGGAAGGGCAGAGGGGGCAGGGTAGGGCTGACCTCCAATCTCTGTGTGTTTCCTGGCACTGGCCTAGCCAGCCCTCAGCCCTCTCAAGCCACTTACCTGCTGGGTGGGATGGGCAGCGGCTGGGACCTCTTCACCTCTCCCAGTGGAGGGGCATCGGGCAGTGGGGGAGTCCCAGGAGGGGTGCCCGGCACTGGGCACAGGTCTTCTTCCAGGGAACTACTGAGTTGAGGTGGAGAAAGATCCAATTCCATGACAACTGAGGGAAGAAAGGGGACTGACTGTGGCAGCCCCAGAGCCAGGGTCTTGCCCCCCTCTGTCTGGGCACCCCTGGTGGTGACACAGCACCCCACCGCTTGCACTTGAAGCCCTCAGGGAAGGACAGGGTGAACCCCACTATACAAAAGAAGCCACCAAGACCCTGAGAAGGAAGTATTCTCACACGCCCTCCCTTCCTAACAGGTGCAGGCAGTGGAACCTAGACTCCCAGACCAGGGCTCAGTCACAACAGGGACAAGCTAAAGAGGGACACCCTCACACACACCCCAAGCCTGGCAGTAGCAAGACTCTACAGCCCCCAGACTGCCTGGAGCTCGGCCCAGTGCCAGGGCCTGCAGGCATGGGGCACTCACTTCTGCAGGCTCTTCCTCGGGTTTTTCCAGCCCTTTGTTGCCAGACCCAGTTGCCAGAGCTGTGGTGGCAACGCCTGCCCAAGTGATGAGTGAGGTACAGGAGGAACGGAGAGGAGGGGCAGGTGAGGGAGGGCAGGAAGGACAGGCTCAGCAGAGCAGGGGCCCGGGAGGTGGGGGGCAGCCAGGGCATCCTTATCTCAACAGCCCCCAAACCTCTCCAAGCGCTGCCTTCTCCAGACCTCTATTCCTGCCCAGCTCTTTCCTGGAGTCCCAATGCCACAGCCACCTCCTCTGTGCAGTCTTCCTGGCTTTCTTGTATCCAGACTGATGGGCCCCCTCTTGGCACTGTGCTGGGGCCTCCCATGCCCACTACACTATACCTGTCTTATTCCACCCACTGGCCCAAGGACATGAGGCACCTCCAGGCATGGCTAGCACCCTCAGGTACTGCATGGAAGGAGGAGTGAGAAAGTAAGGACAGGTGAGAGTGAGCATGCCCACAGAGGCCAGAGGTGCTAGGACCAGATTCCTGAGATGTGGGAGACCCTAGAGGGTTCAAGGAGGCAGCCTGGTGCACCTGGGGCTGGTTCCCAGCACACACGGATGTGTACACACACTCGATGGAGCAGGCGCCTGACCCTTCGGGGAGGGCAGAGAGGAATTGGAGGGACAGGTGAGTACGGGTGGGGCAGGATGGCACTACCCAGACCTTTGCATTCAACTTGACTCACCTGCACTTCCTGGCTGGGCAGAAACACAAACAACCCTGCCCCTCCCCACCTCCACCCTGCCCAGAAGAGGGCGGGGACAGAATGGAAGAGGAGGATGCTGGCTAACCGGTGGGAGGTGCCTCTGACATCATCCTCTCCTCCCCTACCCTGGCCCACCTCCAGCCCAGGTGGGAGCAGGAGTCTGCCTACCCCATGCCCCAAGCCAGCACCCTGCCCAGGGAAGGAGAGAAATGCAGGGCCCAGATTCTGAGGCTATCAGGAATGGAGCCAACCTCTTGGGGGAGGCCTCAACTAAGCTGGGCTCCCAGGTCCCTGCCCTGGGTCCCATTCTGTCCCTAAATGCCCACAAGCATATGGTCTGGGGGACTTGTCCCCTTAACACACTCTCTGGGTGTCCCGGCTGAAGTAGCCGCATTAGGAGTGGGAGTGGAAGGGTCAAACACCTGCGAGGACCGACAGGGTACAGGAGCCCAGAATGCCAGAGCTGATCAGAGAGAGCAGACACGCAGACACGCAGACACACACACACACCACCAGATGCCAGTGCTCAGCACCAACACACCATGCTGCACTCCCATTTCAGAAGGACTGAGGGGAGAGGTTCCAAGGTCCCTGGAAACAGAGGTTTCCAAAAGCTGGAGACACCCCCGGCCATCCATACACACACACCCTCTGCCCAGTACCTGTAGGATCTGCAGCCTGGCTTCCCCAACGGCCTCTCCCGCCCCCGGCAGAGCCAGCACCACCCTCCCGGCCTCCTTGTTTACTTCCTGAATCTTGCTCCACCTGGCTGGCCCCAAGGGCAGGGGGCAGGGCCAGGTGTTTAAGGCCGAAAGAAAACAGGGCCACCATCCAGAGCTTCCCAGGGCGGGGGAGGGGCCTGGGCGTAGCGGAAGGTGGGGAAGTTTTGGGGGGGACCTGTACTCCCAGCCGCCACCATAGCGATTGCCTGTGGCTCGGGGAGTGGGCTTCACCTTTCGGGAAGCTCTTAGGATGAGGGACCTGGAAAGGAAATGAGAACCCCCAGGTGACCAACAGTTGGAGGAGGGGCCCTGGGAGCTCCGCCCACTCCCTCGCTCAGCGGGAAAAACATCCAATGCGGGAGGGGGGGCAGCGTTCTTTTAAAGTTTAATTTGTGAAGAATGCTGGAGTCCCTCAGGTGGAGTTAATCATTGTTGTGCACTCAGGAGGTCCCTCCCCCATGGAGCAGGACGTCAGCGGGAGGGGGGGTGGAGAAGAGGCCAAGACGGTGCAAACCAGAGAGGGCGGTCCTGGGGGCCCTCGCACCCAGTCGACAGGTGCAGGCTCGGTCCCAATGGACCAGGAAGACCTGCACCCGAGCCTGGTCCTCTTCCCCAGCATCATCAAGTTGGCAAGACCACCAGCCCCTCTCCGAGCCTCGGCAGCGATGACCCGCAGCATCTACCCTAGGGGCAGCCCACCCCCCCCACCTGCCCTATGGGGGGCAGGGCGCGGTGTCCCTAGCAGGGACTACAATATGGAGCCAGAGTGGCTGCGAACAGAGTCCATCTGCCCACATCGCACCGGCGCGCACCCCTGGCCCCTTGGCAGGGACGTTTGTGTAAATGGGGACTGGGGGAAACCCAGACTGGATGGGGGGGTGGTGAGCAAGGGAAGCTCCCTGGGGGTCCGGACCCCTTCTGGCTCTTTCTGTGTGGGGGGAGGGGCCAGTTTCAGCGGGAAAGTCGTGCCCTCCTAAGAGAAAATCTCTAGACTTTAACTCCTAACCCCACCAACAGGTTTGTGCGTGTCGAGGGGGAAGTGGTGTGCAGAGAGCGAAGGGGAAAAAGACAGCAGGAATCACCGGAGAGGGGAGGTTGGGAAACCAGAGGAAAAGAGAAAGTGTGCGGCAGCCGAGAGCAGCACAGCAGGGGACCGAATCTTCCAGAATTACCCCACACTTGCCCAGGAATCCCACTTCAGGTCCTTACCTGGACCCTGGTACAACAGACTGTGACTTTGCGGAGTGAGACACCCACCCCTTAACTACTTGCCCACCACCTACCCCAGCCTCCCTAACCGACCCTCACATCTCCAGGGCAGGGAAGGAGGACAATGGGCCAGCTCAGCACAGTCTGGCCCCCTGATGGGGCTGGGCATTAGGAGCAGGTGGTCATTTGAGCCCCATCTGGGACCCCTTACCTGGAGGAGCCCCAGCAAGGGTAGCGCGGCGCCGCGTCCAAGGTCCGGCTCTGCCTCGGCACCCGCCCCCTCCCGTCCCGGCTACCAGGATCCGATTTTAAATCTACACCTGCTTCCCCACGGCTGGTAGGAGGATGTCCCGACTTGGGCCGCAGAAGTCAGGCGAGAAGGAAGGAGCCCTGTGTGTCCAGATTCCAGGCCCAAGCAAACTAAAATTATCTTGGGCAGGTGGGGGCGGGCCTGGGGAGGTGCCCGGGAATAGGAAGCCAGGAGAAGGGGCGGGGACTCCCGGACTCAACTGCAGCCTGGGATTGTTTTTCTCCTTCCTGGCCCAGCGGCAGGTGCCTGGCGAGGGCGGGGCAAGGCAATAGAACAGAACATCCCAGAGAGTGGAGATCCTGAGCTGTGACTACGTGGGAGGGAGGGAGAAAGGGGCTGGGGGGCTGGCAGATAAGGTGAACCTGCTGCCAAGTCTGCCCCAGTGCTGCTGTGTTCATTGGCCAAGCTAGGGGGCCTGTCCCCACCATGGGATCCAGCCCCTGGAGCAAAGGGCATCCTGAAAAGGAGGGAGCCAGCCAGTGGGGTATCCAGCAACATGCCCTGGTCCTTGACCTCCAGCCAGTCTGGCCACCCAGGCTGTGCGCTCCCTTCTGAGCAAAGTCCATGGTCTCGGAGTGGAAGGGGCCAAGAAGGGCGCCACAGTAGGGGCAGCCAGCCATGATCTCTGGCTTAGCGCTGGGCACCAGGAGGGGACTCTCAGAGAGAGATCAAAGGCAGCGGCCACCTCCCAGCTTGATGAGGGTGACAGTTGAGAAAACAAACAATCCTAAGGGTAATAAGAGGTCTGCCCTGCGGTGGGGGGTGGGGAGGGGCGCGCACAGAGGAGTGGCTCCAAGCCTCCACTTTCTCCGCAGAGTTTTCAGTGAAAAACCAGTAGGAGTGAACCCCAGCCAAGAGGTGGACAAGGGGGGAACCTGACCCCCCCCCGGGGAGTGGGGAGACAGAGAAGACCCTTCCCTTGCGTGCTAAGCAGCAGGTGTCAGCCCCATGCCTGGTGTTGGAGGATGCAGTGGGGAGCAATAGGAACTCAGCAGGTCAGTCAGAGAGACCAGACCAAAGAGCCACAGCTAGGGGCCAGCAGTGTCATGGTTCAGTGAGTTAAGCCTGCAAGCCAATATTCCCTATATACAATGGTTCATGTCACTGGGGGCTCCACTTCCAATCCAGCTCCCTGCGGATACACCCGGGAAAGCAGCTGCTGAGACCCCCAAATCCCTGGGCCCCAAGAGATCCAGGTGGAGTTGCAGGCTCAAGCCTGACCAGGCCCCAGCCACTGTGGCCATTGAGGGAGTGAACCAATGAATGCAAGGTCCCTCCTCTTTATATGTAAAACTCTGGCTTTCAAATATCTAAACAGATTTTAGAAAGAAATGACAGATAGCAACTATATGGATTCTCCGGGCAGCAAGTGTTTCCCCTTGCACAGGGGAAAGTGGGCTGGGATGGGGGAGCAAAGGACACTTTCCACCTGGAGGGAACAGGTGCCCAAGCCCTTGCAGAGCGTGGACACAGCACACAGAGGCAGAAGGCCAGGAGGAGAAGGGAGGACGCAAAACCAAGCAGAGAAAGTGGGCAGGTGTGGAGGAAGCATGGCCTGTGAGAGATGTGTGGATTTCTTCCCTGTGGGAAGCACAGATGCCGTGGGCCCTTGGCCCTGCCCCAGCCATG